ATAATATGATGCGCGAGATACAATAATATAAGCGCTAATACATTAATCTGATGCGCGAGATACAATAATATAAGCGCTGATACACTAATCTGATGCGCAAAAATGAGAGATTTTGGAGATTTGTAAAATTTATAGGGGATAATGGTAATAAGTAAACTAAAAGATGAGATTTTTGTAATTTTTCCTAAAATTAAAATAAACCCAACTCATGGAAAAGAATTTAAAAGCCCAACTTGTTGGAAAAAATAATAAAAAGCCCAATTTGAGGTGTAGGGTTGCACGTGTGCCGAGTTTGGAGAATATTTGTTCTGTATATACACACTCTGTGAAATTACAAACATATCCTCACTCAAATAAGCACCATAAAGCCTAAATTGGGACAATACTTTAGTGGAGAGAAGAGGTTAGTTTGGTAAATACCATACATGTTTGGTTTAGCAGCTAATATTAATTAATTAATGTATTAATTATTAAAGAATGAATTATTGCAGAAGACAGCATAAGCTTCATCATTTTAAAAAATGTACTTTATGAGATTGTGGGATTATTATTTAATAAATTATATATACTTTACCTAATCATATATTATTGGTTCAAATGATGAGAAGCTGTCTCAATTATCATATAGTAAGATTTGATATGTCTATCACAATTCTATTAGCACAATTTTAGAGTACTCTATAATTGTTGAGACCCCACAATAAAATTTGAGTCCCTAGCAATTAATCATTTAATTTCAAATTATTATTGTTCTAAAAAATGCAACAAAAAACACCAAATCAAATATTGGTATTTGGTATGAAAATGCATTTCTTTAAAATTTATATGATGTAGTTTGATTAAATATGCATTTTTGTAAAACTTACGATTTTAAATATATTTTAACCGGTATATAATTATAAACTTTAGAAATTAGTTATCCTAATGTAATGACCCGAAAGGTCATTTTTGAAAATTTTCACAAAATTACCATTTTACCCCTCTCGATAGTTGTCTCGAGTTATTTTTGACTTATTCGTGAAGTTGGTTTGAGAATTTTAAACTATTCGATAATTTCAATTATTTAGTTGGTGATATTTATTAAATAATTAAATTTTATTAGTGGGTGATTAATGGGCCAAGTCCATAATATAAGTAATATCCTATACCATTTATCCCATGTAAAAATTAAATAAATCAGAGTTAAAGGTAATTAATATTATATTTTTAGTCGAGCACGAAAGGGCAAAAATCAGTTGCGGCTAAAATCTGTAACCGAAGGAAACGAAGAGAACAAAGCGACCTTCTGTTCAGGTAATGTAATCATCATCATTGCCTGAATTTTTTGTATTTGTATTGTATGGGTAAGAACATATCATTGTTATTGTGAATTAAAGTGGGATTGTAAGTGAAAAGTAAGTAAAATTGAATTGCAAGTGGGAATGGATATACCTATTCTAACGTTTTTTACTTGGAGAAACAAATACCTTCATTGCCATATGGATGTAATCATTAGATAATGATTGGATGATCCTATACTTACTAATGATTTAATAATTACATGTATTTTGACATTGAATTTCACAATCTGCTAAATTGAGTTTCTTAGACTTAAGTTACTGATATAGTAACTTGACGTTGGGTTCTATTTTAATTATTTATTTTATCATTATTATTATTAAATATTGAGTGTATTATATTATATGAAAACTATTAGGGTTGTAGTGTTTGGAGAAATTATGACTTAACCTCCAGACTTGAAATTTAGGAAATATGAGATTTGATCTATTGGTTGGAATCAAGATTTAGAAACTTTATTATAAATTCGGGTGAGTTTTGGGTCTAAGCTAGACACATAGTAATATGAGTGTTGTTAGTTTTGAAATCTTATTGTGGTCATTTATTTGAATAGATTGCTTTGAGTTGGAAGTTCAACGAAAGGGGAAGGCTCAAGTTCCGGAGTGAATTTTTAATTGATTGAGGCAAGTGGATTTCTAAGCCCTTGTTAAGTGTATGAAATTCGTGTATTTCCTTGTAATATGTGTTTGGGATAATGAGACTTGGGGACGGGTTGACTTGTCCACATTGATTAATTCTAATGATGAAAAAGGGATAATAAAAGGCAATGTGATCAATTGTTTGTGTGATGTGTTGAGAATTGTTTGAAAG